CGATGACATCATTTTGCACGAAGGGTTGGGGAGCATTCCTGGAACGAAGGGCGCTAATTCTAAGATTGACAGCTTGCGAGAGTTGGGAGTGTGTGTGTGTGTGTGTGTGTGTGTGTGTGTGTGTGTGTCTTTTGTGGTCATGTGTCATTGTTTCTGGAATGTCTGAGGGCTGCGTTCTGAAGAACTTGTGCGACGGCCGGCCTTACTGAACGGTAAGACCGATTCACCCCAGTGCCGCTCTTATCCTCGCTTATCTGAGAGGACTGACAGCTGGCTGCTCCCTCACAAACAGCTTTACTGTGACTTCCTGTCCTCACAACACTCACTTCCTGTATTTTCCCAGCTTCCCTGCAGGAGCCACCCTTATTGTGTCTTTCCTCATTGATAGCATCTTGTAACAACGAGAGCCTGAAAAAATAAAACAATAAAAAAAATAAATAAAAAAAAATGTCTGATGGCAACACTGTTTGTAGATTTGGTGGGGGGAGGGGGGCATAGTCATGGGGGAAGACTCAACCAGAACTGTGGTTTAGCCGAAGGCTGATAAGTGACGGGGTTTTCTGTATTTCAGTTTGCTGTTTTTATTTCATTTGGTGGCCGTAAAAGCAAACAGAGTCAAAAAATCCAAATTTTCCCTTAAAAGCTGAGCCTGTTTCACCACCTCAGTACCAAGGAAACAACTCAAAATCCCTGGAAGTGTTTTGATACCAGTATTTATACAAAGGCACTGTGCGTGCATGTGTGTCTGTGTGTGTGCTATAAGTGTTTATGTATATAAGGCCAGACTGGGTCAGATAAGCTGTAAGCTAAAAAAAAAATCAGATAGGAGGTCAGCAGCACAGCGTGACTGAGATGGAGATTTTTTCTTTCTGTGCAACAGGAAAGGAACACAATAGGCATAATTACAGAGTGGGTGTCCCAGTGTGTGTGTGTGTGTGGGGGGGGTTCTCCTCTGTCCAGCGCTCATTTGGAGATGACAGCTTTTTGCATGCGGGCGAGGCGCTGAGTCTGGCACTTACCGTAAAATACCTTACATTTCCTCATGGACGATGGGGAAGGAACAAAAACAAGTGTGAGTGTTTGCCTCCACTCTACTGTGTGACCTTTCACGCTCCAGCCAAGCCATTCAAAAAATCTGCTCTGACCGCCAAGATCATGAAAATTGCACTGAATTCCTAGTTTATCCAAGCACGTGTCGTACGCACTGCAGGAATGCAGCACGCAGCGCACAAAGGGAAGAAATGAGACGGTAAATTGGTGATCTTGTACCAGATGATTGGGCGACTTGGCCAAGGAAGTCGAATTCCTCGTGCAAATGAAAAACGGCAGAAAACCAAAAAAGAATCACATCCCATTGATTATCTTTTTTTTAAACTCCTTTCTTGGGAAAATATGTCATCTTTCTTCTTTTAAAGCTTAGAAATGTTCTAAAATTATCTCTGCGGCAGTTAGCTTGAAGAACA